TATGCTTTTCCGCGTGGTACTTATCGTGTATCGTCCTCAGGACGAAGGGTAGGTAATCTTCGATCTAATATCAGAGAGGACTGATAATGTCCTCCCCGAATATACCTCGGCCAACTTTCATATATACGGTGGCCAATGTGGTTGGTTCCTTCTAACAAGACCAATGAGATATTGCAGAGACTTCTCCATTGCATATGGACTAACCCAGATCATTGAAGAACTCACCCGAGTACCGGATGCGACCTTTTTCTAACGTCAAATTAAACAACAAATTTCTCATGATTTTTTTCGAGCGTATCTGGAAAAATTGTTGCTTAAAAACGGTAATTTGACTTCGCTAACCAGACGCTTCCTCTGTAGCTAAATGGTATAGCACGTCAGGCTGTATAACGGTTCCGTCTAGGATACAAGTTCGATTTCTGTCAGAGGACACATATTTTCTATGAAATTTCCCGAACATTCAGGCCGGTAAATGTAGTCAATACTGTTTATTAGAAACAGAGCATTTACTTAAATATTTGTATCTATAGAAATAACGTATGAACAGTATATATATATATATATATAGAGAGAGAGAGAGAGAGATAATACAAGTAAAAGTTTTGTCACTTAAGTGATTGATTTTTACCTTCTTTCGAAGGTGGACCCGCCGAAAATTAGTCTGTTCACTCGACAGGGGTATAATAAACGACTTAAACAAATCTCAAAAAAATTTTATTTAATATTTTGTTTATTTAATAAACGACGTAAACAAATTTCAAAATTTTTTATTTAATATTTTTGTTTATTTAATAAACGACCTAAAAAAATTTCTAATTTTTTTTACTACGTTAATGAAGCATCGAAATCCGAAAAGAATAAATAAATATATAAAATAAAAAATAAAAATAAATAAAAAACACGTAAAATAAATTAACCCAAATAAATAAATAAATTAATTAACGATTCCCGCCAAAATAACCGCCAGAATTGACTACTCACAATGCACCCACTGACCCGTATATATAAATTTTCGAGAAAAAAAAACACACGTGGCCTGACGATAGCGTCTAGCATGAAACAGCCTATCGCCTCTGAGTGTTGACTTCAATGTTCTCTTTCATATATATATATATATATATATATATACAGAAAGAGAGAGACAATGTGTAAATATCGCCTTCATCTGTCCCCTGCTCACTTAACATAAGGATTAGTACTAAATGAACCTAAGCCGCCATTGCCGAAATTCGAACTTGGCTCGCTAATAACCTTTTAATTAAGTGAAAAGTGTCTTCCAATTCTTCAGTATATCTACATGATTTATGAAGTCTTACAGTTTCCTTTTAGCTTCCGTTCTCCTATTTCATAAGTTGCCCCTCAAATACATGAACGGCTTTAACACATTTTATATTCTTTTGTCAATAATTTAATTTCGATTATATTTTTGGGGATTAATCAGTTAATATTTTTCTCCATTTTCCAATTTTCATTTGGAAAAGAAATAAAAACATTAAATAGCAAAGAGTGTCATAATTAGATTTCGAAAATTATGCGTGACTTTTGGAACGCCACAGTCCCCTGATTTTTTTTCTTTGTTTTTATTTATTTTTTGTTTTTATTTCGTGCTGAAATCGCGCTTCAAAAACACCGCCATTTTGTTTTTATTTCCTGTTTATTTAGCTTTGTTCGAGTGTTTTTCATCGCTTAACTGGTTGAGTTCCGCTGTTTACAGCAAGTGAAACGCGAGCAATCCGGTTGCTATGGAGTCCAGGTGTTTATCTCTTCTTCTTAACTTACGTCATGTCGCGCTTCATACTAACTTATGGCAGGCGGGAAAATTGTGGTTGGGGCGGGGGTGCGGATAATGTTCTGCCAGAAGGTGAAGAAAGGTTTTCGGTTTGCGCACAGCGATAAGTCATTTAAAAAAGATGATTTTTTTTTTTTCATTTTTCTTCAGGTGAAGACAAAGAAGACGCGAGGCCGTGAATTAAACTGGAGTTGATTAGCGACTGTCATTTTAGAAATATGGTGACGCTTAAATTTACATTTTGGGATTTTAAATTGAATAGTTGAGAAAGATTTGAAATAAAAATAAAGAAAAAAATTCATAACATATCAAACAATGCTAGTTTGTGACGGGAAGAAATAGAAATTGACAGAAAGAAAGAAAGAAAGAAAGAAAGAAAGAAAGAAAGAAAGAAAGAAAGAAAGAAACAGCGAAAACGAGGTAGTAAGAAATATGAAAAGACAGATATAAAATAAAACGAAAAAGAAAAAAGGAAGAAAGAGTGAAAAAACAGGAAGGTAAGAAATATGAAAAGAAAGAAAGAAAGAAAGAAAAACAGGAAGGTAAGAAATATGAAAAGAAAGACGAAAAATAAAGAAAGAAAGAAAGAAAGAAAGAAAGAAAGAAAGAAAAAGATGCATTGAGTATGAGAAGGAACGAAAGAATGAAAAACAATCTTTGTTAATGTCGAGAGAAAATGAGAAGGTGAAACGTTAAGAAAATACAGGTGACGGATTGCCTAAATACTTACAGATTGTCTTACCTGAGATGACATCAGGTAATAAGAAACTAATTGGTGAGTGTTAGGACACGTGGAGATGGGATGGGGGGGGGAGATTGGCGCCAGAAATCGTGCAAATGGCGCCACCCATCCACTCCTGCCGACCTGTTATAAACCGATCAATCCCTCAGCAATATCGATAACTACTTGTTCAAAACCAACACCAGCAGCGTGAAGGCAGCAAACTCGATGTCTACACATCGATTATACGATGACGAAGATGAACGTTACAGAAGAGAAGAAGTTTAATAAAATATTAATTACCACTGAAATAAACTTTTACCCCCAAAAGGTGATAATTTTGATAACAAGATTATTTTGAAAATGTGTTTTTGGTAACAAGATTATTTTAAAATGTAAACAAAAGAAGAAAATTATAAATATTTTAAAACACATATCACTATATATAACGCAAATTTGTATACATAGTAGGAGTAGAGGAAATTCGCCTAACGTCCGATTCACATTCTTTCCCAGAAAAAAAGAAAGTGATTGTCAATCGACAAGAAAGGACTAAGTGTCAATTTTAAGAAGACAGAATATTTGGTTGTCGGCAAGTGGAACAGCTACATAATGGAAATGCGAAAATCAAGCAAATAAAGAATTATAAAATATCTGGGAAGCGTTTTAAGAAAGGACTAAAAATGCAACACCAAAGGGTAAGTGCGACTCTGAGATCCGTATTGGGATGGCCAAAGACGCGTTCCAAAATCTAGGCCGAGTTTTACGAGACAGGAGGATTTCGTTAGTAACAAAGAAAAGAGTACTAAACTTCTACCTGATATCTGTCCCCCTTTACGGCAGTGAATGTTGGACGGTCTCCTTAAAGATGATAAAGAGACTCGCAACAACAGGGGTATGATTCTACAGAAGGATGCTAAGGATACCATCGACCGAACATGTGAGAAACGATAAGGTTTTGGAGAGGATGCAAACAAAGTGGAAGCTTATACTTAACATCAGGAAGAAGCAGCTGAAATTTCTGGGACACATAATCAGAAAGGAAAGCTTGGAGAATCTGATACTCAGAGGGCGAATGTTGTAACCTAAGAAGGGTTACTGAATGAAGAATAACCAAAAAGAAGGTTGGAAATCAAATGGTAATCTTTATAACATCAACAAAATACAATACTCGCCAGTGGGGTAAAGTAGGTAAACCACTGCTAGTGGTGGACTACTTAGACAACGTATTTATGAGGATTGGGACATATCTATTAGTGTACATAATAACATATAATAATGTTCATAATAGTATATAATAACGGTGGCTATAAAAATAGTTATAGTGTTTACCTACCGTTCAAGCGGTGGCTGAGCATTACGTCATTTCTCTCTACCACCGTTCAACCGTTGGCTGAGCATTACGTCATTTCTCTCTACCACCGTTCAACCGGTGGCTGAGCATTATGTCAATTCTCTCTACCACCATTCAACCGGTGGCTGAGCATTACGTCATTTCTCTTTACCACCGTTCGACCGTTGGCTGAGCATTATGTCATTTCTCTCTACCACCATTCAACCGGTGGCTGAGCATTATGTCATTTCTCTCTACCACCGTTCAACCGGTGGTCAGGGCTCAAAGGATTAATTCTTCAGAAAATCAAGTGGAATACGTGGGTTTTGTAAAATAAATAAAGGATACCAATGCTAAAACAATGCCGTGTCTGGGAAGTCTTCCAACAGAAGACGTAAAGTGAAATCCGAAGACTCATTGGCATAGCCAAAAATGCTTTCCAAAAGCTAAGCAGAGTATTATGAGATGGAAAAATTTCGTTGGAAACAAAGAAAAGAGTACTGAACTATTACGTGGTATCTCTCCTCCTATATGACAGAGAATGCTGGACAATTTCCTCAAAGATGAAGAAGAGACTCGAAGCAGCAATGTGGTTCTATAGAAGGATACTGTGAATAACGTGGATTGAACATGTGAGCAAGTTTTAGAGAAAATTTAAACAAAAAGGACAGGAAATTGTGGAGATCCATGATCGCTTACGTCCTGAAGAGACAGTACATAAAGAGAAGAGAACTATAGTTTTGTCATTGTCCTCACGGCCACAAGGCTATTGCTCATATATCTTTGAAAAACTAGTTGTGTTTCATTCGATATGTCACGCTCCCACTACTACCACTAGTTACAGATTAATTAACAGGGTGCCTCTAATATTAATTAATATGAAAACGGTGGCACACTCGCGCCGACAGAACGGATGACGATGGTTGGTAGTGGAGGAAAGTCGTGTATTTGTTGTTTCTTAATTAGTTTGTTTGGGATAAAGAGTTTGGTCCGGGATAGTTGTGGGAGTGGAAGTGTGGACAATGATGTGGTTGATGTCTACATCAATAAGTAAGATGGTTGGATGGAGGCTAGGTGCGGAGGTAGATATGTGGGGAGGTATTTAATTTTTCTCTAGAGTGGGACAGTATAAAGTTATCACATTAGAGCCGGTAAAGTCAATCGACAGTGGCGTCAGAGATAGAAAGCAATTTGAGAGAGAAATCGATTGACCAATCGATAGATGAAGATGTTGACATATGGACAGATAGATAAATGTGTAGTGACAGAGAAAGAGAGAGAGAGAGTGTGTGTGTGTGTGGTGAGAGAGAGAGTGGAGGGAGAGAGAGAGTGGAGAGAGAGAAAGATATAGAAAGAAAATTTATGCGAATACTTATAAAATATTTCAATTCGTTTTTCATTCGACATATGCATATATACATATATATATATAGATAAAAATGGACAGAATGAGATAGATATGATCATATTTTAATCGACAGACTAATATATATATATATATATATATATATAGATAGATAGATAGATAGATAGATAATGATCACATTGCAAAAGACAGACTGACAGACAGGTATGCAGACAGACAGATAAATAGATTAATACCAAGCTATCTAGATAGATAGATAGATAGATGTTTATGATCATATTGTTTAGACAAAAATATATATATATATATATATATATATATATATATGTTTGTATATTATATATGATCATATATCTATCTATCTATCTATCTATCTATATATATATATATATATATATATATATATATATATATATATATATATATATATATATATATATATAAAGTCAACACTTAGAGGCGACAGTCTGTTTCATGCTCGATGCAATCCTCAGGTCTGACGATTGCATCTAGCATGAAACAGAATGTCGCCTCTAAGTGTTGACTTCTATGTTCACTTTTATATTTACACACGCTCTATCTGATATTGAGCACTTTATCCCATAAATATAGCACATCTTAAGACTATATTTCTTCATATATATATATATATATATATATATGTATGTATGTATGTATATATACATAGATAGATACATACATACATTCATAGAGATGAACAGAATGATATATATATATATATATATATATATATATAGAGAGAGAGAGAGAGAGAGAAAGAGAGAGGGGGGAGAGAAGATAGATAGATAGATAGATAGATAGATAGATAGATAGATAGATAGATAGATAGATAGATACGTACAAGTGATGGCATTCAACTGAATGAACCAAAAAGCTTTATTTTGTTTTTTCTTATCAAATTTTTCCCCCTCATTATTAGTTTCTTGTATTTAATTCCAATAATTCATTTTTACTTTAACATTTTTCCTATGTGAGTCTCGATGAATTGTTTACGGATATCATTTAACAATTTTTTTCTAACAATTCTTAGAATATTACAATTTATTCGCCGCGATTTGCATAACTCCATTGTCATGACAACACCTTTTTCTTAGGGTCTTAAATAGCATTTTGAACATTCCCGCGTCAAATGGTGATAAAAACAAATCAAGATCTATCTGGTTTTCAAAACTGCACCAACTAGTGTACAAGTAATATTTTATAGATTGTTATTAGTATGTATTGATTAATTGTAATAGAGAATACTTTCGCAGCATCTCCCTCATTTTCCTGATTCTTCTTGTATATAATTCCCCTGCTAGTCAAAATATCAGTCAAGCCATTAAAGTAGATTTTTAGTGGGACTACTCAGAATGAAAAATAAGGTTCCCTCAAGCATCCAGGATCGGAACTGTTTAGTCGGTTCCACTTATAACATCGTACACTTATCAACTGACAGAAGAAACTATCACAAGTTTCTATGACACCATTCCACCTATGACACCCAGTTAGTCTAAGATACGTCATTCCACATTGTAAACACGACCGTTACGCAGATTTGTTCCTTGAATGTCGGTGTTGTTGGCACACGTATCAGCGAAAGTTTATCTTTCAGAACATACTGAAAATCTGCTTTGTTGATGAATCCTTCCTAAAAGCGTGAATATCGAGTGTTGACTTACAAATAGGTTCACAAATAGAAAATGGCCAATAGTAATGGCGGCAAATAAAAGTACGCTCAAACTTAGAAAATTTTTACATTCGTCTACTTTTAAAGTTTGCAAAATATACCGAAACTATGAGAATTTTATCTTATTTTCGATTTATCTACTTTTACTTTCTTTGTTCTTTTTTTATTTTCTGTAAATTCTTTTCAGAGAATTCTTTCATTTTTTTCTTTTCTGCAATTTTCTTTTTTTCTTTCTTTCAATTATCGGAATTCTTTTTTTTTTTTCTTTTTGTGAATTCTTTTTTTCTGTAATTTTTTTTTTCTTTCTTTTCTGTAAACTCTTTCTTTTCAAGAAATTCTTTCTTTCTTTCTTTTTTGTGAATTCTTTTCTCTTAATTTATTTCCACTGATTTGATTTCATTGAAATAAATTCTATCTATCTATCTATCTATCTATCTATCTATCTATCTATCTATCTATCTATCTCAGTCTCTTCATATCAATCTTAAGCTTCTCATTTTCATCATAATCTATATTAACATATTATATTCATCGATGTATGTAGGCTATTATGTTCATCTAGATTTTTAATAATAGATAATTAGAAGACTTTAATTTTCTATTTTTTAAGTCGCCCAGAACAAGAATATAAAGTTATTTATCATTTATAAAAAAAATTTAAACAGATAACCCCCCGTCGCCAATACTAATGCACCTGCAACATACAAATTACATAGGACCAATATTATTAACGAAGTTACATGCTCCTTAACGAACTACGTTCCGGACCAAAACAAATTCATGAATAATTATATTGTTCATACTACTACATGCCTATCAAGAAGACTCACGTGACATTGACCGTAGTTCAATTAGGACCCATTTAAACACACACGAAACCTACCAAACGACGTCTGCAACGTACCTCTGGAAAATATGACTGTAATAAAAAGTAAACACTCAATATCAAATGTGAACACGGCCACAATGTGCTGAAAAATTTCCATCTCTGTAGAAAGAGATGTATAAAAATCATCCTATTCAGTTAACAAAAGAAACCCCTTGAGCTTATATAATAGCCGAAAGCACTCGGATATATAGAATATTGGACAGTTTTCATGACCACAAATGAAAACGCTTGTAAAATACAAGAAAAAAATTGGTTAAAATGATTAACCACAATATCTTGTCAGTCATCTTCAATAAAAACCTGATATATATATATATATATATATATATATATATATATATATATATATATAATCTTCAATAAAAACCTGATATATATATATACAAGGTTATAATTGTTCTAACGGGAGAAAAATGTATATTTAAAAAAAAGAGAGACACCGCAAACGTTTTTGGTTATAATGTGGATTTATAACGTGTATATATTATATTTTATTGTTCATAAAATATATTTCACTAATGTATACACTAAAACAAATCCATATTATAACCAAAAATGTTTGCGGTTTTAATATATATATATATATATGTGTGTGTGTGTGTGTGTGCGTGCGGGCCACCTCTTGTAGGTTGAACACTTTGAAAGAAAGGGAATTTGTCGGCTGCAGCTAATTAATTCTTAATAAAAAATAACCAAATGTTGGACAAATGGACAAATTTTTTATTTTCATCCGAAATTAAAGCAAATATACGAAGTTTAGAACGGCTCATGATCAAAATATATATATATATATATATATATATATATATATATATATATATATATAGACTCAGGTGATTGGTTCAGGCTAAGAAATCTTCCGTACCTCCTTAAAACAGTAAATAAATAAAACCGACACGTCAACACAAACTGACCCTTAAAGACACAATATTAAAAAAAAAAACAAAAAAAAACAAACAAACTACACGGTGTGTATTTGAAAAAAGATAAAATCAGAATAGTGCACAAGAACTTTATTCTAACGGCGTATGAAGGCCGAAAGTATTCAACGATTGAAGAAAAAAATATCAATCAACTTCTGATCGTAAAATAAAATCACTTTCGGAAAATTTCGTATCCTACGAAGGCAATTAAATTTAAATGAACTCCCATCAAACCTAACGGTCATCTGTTCCATTCTTCGTATCGATAATCGATGTTTTTTTGACAACGTGCCAAAATTTATACAAAATTTATATTTATACAATGTTCAACTCGGTCAATTGTCACCGCTTTCAGGCCGTACTAACTTCACAGTTAATTATCTCTTCAAAATATCTTCTGGAAGTAGCTACTTACACGTGCGCCAGTCTGCGAGCATTGCGGCCACGTTAATTGTACATAATTTGGATTATTGCCTTGTATTTTTTATTAATTCCTTTTTAGTAATTATAAGAATACAAATAAACTTTAGATTGTTTTAGAATTGGTTGATCTGGTCTTTGTTTTGAAAAATAAAATCTTTGTTTATCGGTGTTTTTATTACTATTAATGTTTTTCTTTCACCTTCAGATCCTCCAGAGTCAAGCCTTAAGCTACAGGGATGATGATATTTCAGTGAAAGTACCTTCCGGATATTGTTCTTTTTTTTTTTTTAACTGATGTCCACCCACTACAAGGCCCAAGAGCCACTTAAGGTAGGAGGTTACTATGTGTTGTTGTATGAGTATATGAAAGGACAAGAAGTGAACTTCTTGGGGCTATGAAGGAAAGATAACAGTTAACTCTAGACTTGAGATGTAGAGATTATTGTGATTAGGTAAATATGTGTGTAAATTCCTCCATTTTTTTAATATCTCAGTTGCGTCTCTGTCTTTGGGCAGAGTGCACTCAGGGGCTTCTCTGTCAAAGGACAGACGGGCAACTGAAAGATTGCACCAGAGGAAGGGATCGGTGCTCGCACCGAGGCCATCGCAACTGACGGTTGCGGGGGCTGAGGGCAATTTTTGCACTTGTCTTGGGCGTACGCGCTCGGGTCCCCACCTAAAAAGACCTTGTGTCACATCTCGTCCAAGTGGGGGGAAGAAGTAAATACTTTAGAAGGGACAATAAGACCAATAATAAACAGGGATAAAGAGATAAACATCTACTCCTGTTCCAAAGACCGGAGGTGTGTGAACTGAATGATAGGCCAATCTGTCTACTCCTAATGCTTCTTCTTCTTCTTCTTCTT